GAGAGAGAGAGAGAGAGAGAGAGAGAGAGAGAGAGCCAAATTGAATTTGAAATTGAGAGCAAGACACATCACAGTGGAGTCAGCTGTCTTAACCCTGGCTTGTGTACTGCAAACACATATTCATCACTGTGTCTGTCACGAGACTCTGTTCCCCTTTCGGGCTCTGTCTTTACATTTATTTTGAAAGATGAAGCTCAAGATTATGGTAAGGGGCGTTACATTTCCGACGAGTGCTTGCGGTGTTCGGCCAATCACAATGCACTGGGTCAGCTGGCCAATCAGAGCAGACTGCGCTTGTCGGAAGGAGGGACTTTGTAGAAAACGAAGCGTTTGAGAGAGGCGGGGCATAGAGGACCTACAATAATGTACAGTATTTGAAAAATAATGTGTTTTTTGAACATTAAAGCATGTCAACATATTCTGTTACACCAAATACACAAAATAATGATCTTTAAAAAAGCATCATATGAGCCATTTAACAGAAGTGGTCATTCTGCCTAGTGTCAGTTACAAAATCTACAGGTAAGCTGGTTATATAATGTTGTCGATATTTGTGTAAAATGTGTTTAGATTTAAAATTGAACTGGAGCAATTAAAAAGATCTGTATTATACTGTATACCAGGGGTGCCCAATCCTGCTCCTGGTGATAGACTGTCCTGCAAAGTTCAGCTCCAACCCTAATCACACACACCTGAAGCAACTAAGGTCTTCAGGATCACTTGAAAATTAAAGGCAAGTGTTTGCGCTTAGAGTTGGAGCTTAACTTTGCAGGACAGTTGATCGCCAGGAGCAGGATTGAGCACCCCTGCTGTATACAGTGTGCAAATTTTACTGTGACTTTTAGTCAAATTCATTATTATAGGAACATTTAGGGGAGGGGCATTCTGATCTCTTATCACGCAAATCAAATTGTTATTTGGTCGCACTGGCACAGTTAGCCAAAAGTCAACTATGTTAAAGACATTTTAAACAAAAAACTAACTTTACTTAAAATATTTGTTTATAAAAATAGAATTTACTGTATATCATGGAATGTCATAGAATTTGTCAAAATTTGGATAAAGCAGGCCTGTATACTTAATCAAATCATAATGCACGCTTTTAGATTATTAAAACAGAACTCAGAAAAAAATCTGTTATTTGGTGGACCTAATAGAGTTAGCCAAAAGTCAACCATGTTAAAGACTTTTTAAACAAAAAAATAGCTTTTCTTGAAATGTTTATAATAAAGTGATAAACAATGATCTGAGAAGTGCTTGAAAAGTACTATTGCATGTCAAATGCTAAAAAGTGACTAATGGTCAAATTTCTATACACTAATTTTTTTCTGAGCAAAAAAAAATTACTATCATACATTTTTACCATGATTTACAGAAAACGTCATTCAGTGTAACAATATTTTGTATATCAAAAAAATCTTGTCAGGTATATTTAGAAAAATCATTAGATGACATTTAAAGACAGTTTATGAATCACTGTGCAGTTTATCGGCCAACATATCGGTTATCGGCTTTCAAAAATAAAGAATAATCGGTTATCGGTATCGGACAAAATTTTCATATCGGTGCATCCCTACCCAAAATACTAATTCGTTATCATTTTAAATCTTTACCACTTTCCTTCAAACCACTAAGTTTTATCAAAGACTTTAGATCAGCTATAAGTTTTTTTTTATCACTTAAAATGAAATAAAATTTTGTATGATCACTTTTACTTGTATATATTGTACTAAGTACAGTTCAGAATAAGTACGTTGTTTCATTTTCGAGAGAGAGCGTTATGTAAATAGAGAGATATGTAAACGCTGACTTTTCTTAAAATGCATATAATGTGATAAATAATGATTCCTCAAGCAAACGCAGCGAGTGTATGTTTACCGCCTGGTGCTTGCATGTCAAATTGACAAGGATTTTAAGATCTCAACCTCCTCCTTCCTATGGGGCTACTAAAGGTGCCAGGCCCCCCAGACGCCCCGACACATATAATCTCGGCATCTCTATAAATTCTGAGGAACCTACAATGAATAAAACTTTCTAATGAACTTCTGGTTAAATACAAAACGGTTTCCACGTAAGAATCTTGCGTAAAATCGTTCAGATTGATAAAGCGGTGATTCTGTGACGGTCGTCATGGCAGCGGGCAATCAGAAACTCGCCCCTCCCCCCGGCGGCTCGAGGACTGCCGCACCTGACGCACGCAGCACCTGTGCGTGACAGCTGTGCGACGTCAGTAGAGCAAGTGAGTCAGGATCTTCCACACTCGGCGTATGATCGCCCAAAAAAACCAAAACCATAACCCTCACACTCATTTGGTTGCTACGCCCAAACGTACACGAGCAGCGAAACAGATCTAAAAGCTCATTCTTATCACAAAAAGCAGTT